ACTTTTCATGCTGTCTCTAAAGGAATGAAAGATTTTTTCCAAGCACTAAGCTCACTTAGCTGATTGCTCCTTCCTGTGTTTCCAAAAAGGCCAAAGTAAATAACCCAGTCCTTCTTTTCACTGTAGACAAGCCATGATCTGCTTATCTGTTCTCCAAATGTATCTGCGGCTTTTTTAAGCACTCTGTCCCAAAATAAAAGTATTCTGACTCACTAGTCATTTACCAGAAACGCATCCCACTCTGCTTACGTCACAGCTATACATCCACCGTGGGTTCTGGTTCTGAGCACCTGCTCAAAGTGGGAGCAGAGCTCTGCTCTCTGATTGGTCCACAGCTGATAGCGCGTCTCCAGCCGCTCCGCAGACAGAGCTGATGCCTCTGATGGACAGAGCTTTGTGCGGGAAGCAGCGGGGCTGATGCGGGGCGACATGAAGGTGAGTTTTATTAGAGACGCGGTGGAGGATGAGCTCCTCACTGCATCAGATCCACAGCTGCTCGTTCAGACCCAACCAGCAGGGCTGCTTTCACTGAGCTGCAGGATCATAAAATAATCATCAGTTTCTGATCTAAACAGCTTCATCTGATTTAAAACCTGCAGGCTTTGTTGGTTAGTTTGGTGGAAATCCGTTTGAATGTCGGTGTATTTTAGGATGAATATATCAAACCTACTGTCCGCGTTTTTTCCTGTCGGGTTAAATTGAGCTGATTGTCTGTAAACAGGGAACATTTGTTGACTCGACAGGCAAACAGAGGAGCTGATTATTTACAGCATCCTCCTGCAGGTACCGCTGCAGTCTGCGCTTTGGCTGGTCTGCGGAAGGTGCGCGCGCAGATGGGCAAACCTGAGCATGCATGGAGTCACTGAGGGATTCCCTTTTACTGAGCTCTATGGTACCAATTACTGTCTGAGAGACAGAAAGGAAGATTATAAGGCTGCGAACTGGGCCTCAGAAGCGCTGCAGGCAGGGGCGGATTTATGAAATGTGGGGCCTTAGGCAAAGACAGGCAGGGGGCCCTCTGAATAGAGAAGAACACATAAAACACCCATTCTCCAGATAGAGAAATGTTAATAGAATAGACATCCATTCTCTGTTCTAGGTTGTGTCCCTCTCTTCTTGTCCCTTTTCTTCTTGTTTTCCTCTCTATGTTTTGTACTCAGCTGACTTTTCATGCTGTCTCTAAAGGAATGAAAGATTTTTTCCAAGCACTAAGCTCACTTAGCTGATTGCTCCTTCCTGTGTTTCCAAAAAGGCCAAAGTAAATAACCCAGTCCTTCTTTTCACTGTAGACAAGCCATGATCTGCTTATCTGTTCTCCATTTAAATGGAGAACAGATAAGCACTATATTTATCCAGATAAGTCGCTATATTTATCCACTAAATATAGCGACTAAAGCGCTAAGTTGGCAACACTGCTCTTTGCATGGTTTGTTTTCAAATGGTTTGCTGCTGTCTGTTTGGACCTTTCTGAACATGTGCAGCAAATGGACTGATCCAATATGGTGGACGCTGAAGGGGGGGGCTGAGACACACTTAATATTATCAGCGTTCTGATGGCATTTTAGCCAAAGGATTTTTATCAAAAACATAATTAATGTGCAGAAATAAGGAATAGTTGTATTAACCATACATGGAAACAGAGTTTTATGGGGCCCCCAGGAGCTTGGGGCCCTCGGCAACTGTCAGTATTGCCTAATGGTAAATCCCCCCCGCTAACAGCTTGGCTGAATTGCACCTGACTTAAAAAGATAGAAGAGTGCAGAGAGGCTGCATAGAAAATAGTACTTTAGATCAGTTTATTGTATCCACTGGATGTTGGATTGATTGTTTGCCTTTAAAGGCATTTTTAATGCATGTTAAAAAGTGACGTCTCGTCGTTGGGCCCTGGATCCAGACAGACATGGAGGACATTTTTATTCCAGTAAGAGGAGAAGAAGGAGACAAACAAGGAAAAGGAAGGGCATGAAGATAGTGATCAACACCAGGGACGAGGCAGAGGAACGGCCGATAGGATGAAGAAGTTTAGTTTCTAGAGACGTGGATCAGGTCACTGCTCATCTTCTTCTCCCACTAATGACCTCATTTTAAAAAGAATGAATCAACATTAGTCATGTTTGTTAACCTGACACCATCCCAGTCATGCATCTTCCCTCCCACTCAATCAAACTGCATATTTCAAAATAACCTTAATAACAAAACCACAGAAACAAAAAGGATTTGTTTGTTTTTTTAGATTTTCAGGTTTGCTTAGTTAGAGTCCAGTTGACAGAGCTTTAGTTCTGGTTTAGTTCAGGTTCTTTCGTTTTTATCTGGCTCAGATTAGACCGGATTACTTCTGCAGGGAGTGAATTCTGCAGGTCAACCAATCAATTCAATCTGATAGAAAACAAAGAGGTGGATTAAAAATAATCTGACTTCAGCAGATAGACTCTAAGATGCCTTCAGGGGGATTTGCTGTAAATTGGTGATAAATGAATAAACTGATTCAGCTCATATGTGAAACTAGATGATCACCTGTAGATTAAATTAACCAAACTGTTTGGACCTTTCTGAACATGTGCAGCAAATGGACTGATACAATATGGTGGACACTGAAGGGCGGGGGGGCTCCAGGAAGTTGGGGCCCTAGGCAGCTGCCCTGCTCGTACCAAGGCTTATACAAAAGGTTGATTTACATCAAAGGTCAAGCAAGGAAACAAACCTAACAGGAAAAGGTGGGGAGAAATGAAAGTCCTCTTATTCAGACCTCAGCAGAGACCTGAACATCGTCCATTTCTCCTCATCCAGCCTATCTTCACCTCCAGAACAGTTAAACCTTCATTTCCTCGTTTTTTATTCATAGCTTTGTTGTGAAGAGCAGCAGCCATTCATTGTAGCGTTTTATCGGATCGGTTTGCATCTCTTCTACAAGGCTTTAGAGGCGTTACCTCCTACTTTCCTTTTGAGAGGGAAGCGTACGTTTAAACAGCTGCACTGCAAAAAATATAAATCCAAATAAGTCTTTTTTTTTTAATAAATGGATTTTTTCTTGAATTGAGGAGGTAAATGATTCACTTTGCCAATAGAACAAGAGCATTTATATTTAAAATAAGAAAAAAACAACAACTGCATTGTCCTTTTTCAAGTGCATATGATCTAATTATCTTATTTTTAGAGTGAAAATACTGATTCCATTGGCAGATCATCTTCTTTACCTGCTCAGATTGAGGGGAAATACCCTTGAATTAAATAATGACTTATTTCTAGATCATTTCTGCAGTGTGGAGTCGTTCAGTACGGCCCGTTGTGTTTCTCCACCTCAGCGCACGCTGTGGTTCAGCTGTCAGGCTCCCAGAATCAGGACATGCTTAGGTGAGCGAATTATGCAGAGCATCCAGCTGGACTCCTCCCACCCTGAGGACGGCTCAGTGGGACGGGCGCTGTGCTTCCTCAGCGTTAGACATATAAGAGGCTTTGGGAGACAAGCTTTCCACCTGGCATGGAGGCTTTGCTTTCCAGCTTTCACTCTCAACTTTCTCTATTTACTGAACGTCAACAGATCCGTTTATCTCGGTCAGAACTGGAGGTAGGAGACTGGATCTCTTTATGTTTTCTCTCACATTGTGAAGCTTTGTTTTCATTTGCTTCAGCAGGATGTTTGTAATGAATGAAAGCAGCTTCTGTCTTTTATTGCATAAACTTATCAAAAAAATGATGCATTCTACTTAAAAATACTGTGAAAGTTTGTGTAGTTCACATAAACACATTTAGGTTTATCTCTGAAAACATTTCATTAAGTCCTTTCAGCTGCACAGTGATAAGATGATGAGCAACATGTTTGTTTTTGGGGTGTTGTAACGAGCAGTTCATTATGGAAAATAATGAAGCCGTTAAATGTTCCGCTTTTCAGGTCAGTTGTTCTTTAACATTCCAGCCATTCAGCTCAAATCACCTCTTGTGTTTAGCACAAGCAGCTCTTCTAGCTTTGTGTTGTTGATTTGAACATATGGTCATTTATTTTAGCATGAGACTAAACTTCATGAATCCACTTTTTCTTCTTAATATTTCACTTTATGATTTACTTCCTTCTCCAAGGTTGTCAATGTTTAAGTGGCTCCAGTCAGTAATTATCTCTCACAGCGCACCTCCTGCTGGTTTTAACTGTAGAAAAGCACATTTCCATTCAGGCATGTTCTGCTGCAGGTGAACCTACCATCCGCCTATTATGAGTTATTTATTTTTCTTAGTTTTTATGCATCTGTGGCAGAAGCATCATTTTGCACACGGCGGTTATTGTTTTCCACTTTGTATAAGAGACGAAAACCTGAGCTGAGTCTTTGCAGGTGAGAAGAAATCCGATGCATGATGGGAGTGTTTCAGGAAGATCTTTAGTCTCTAATGTTCTTGGAAATGTTGTAGTTACTCAGTGGTAGGTCATTAAAGTCTATATTTATTGAAAAAATGCTAATAAAAGTCATTTTTATTGTGTTTTTTGATTTGATGCAGCAGACCTCTGTGTTTGAAGAGAGAATTTAAAGGTATTTCATCACAGAAAGGAGAGGAGGGTTGGATTCATGATAGTAGGTGGAGGAACTGAGTTTAGTTCTCAGAACCAAGCATCACATTCTGCTTCTTTTTTTCTGGTTCTACAGAAACGGTTCATCCATCCGGTGACGTTCCTTTATGTAATAAGGCGACACTGAGGATGCTGTTTGATCAGATCTTGCAGATTGTTGAGTTTTTCTGTTTCAGACACTCATTAAGAAAACAACCCTCCTTGTATACAGAACTAAAACCCAGACCTGCAGCATCTGAAGCACCAGGGATCCTTTCTAACCTGATCCATTGGTTCCAGGGAAACTGTCCACACACAGACGATTTAACTATTTAAGTTTGCATTGATTGATCAGATCAAGTTCTGAGTTAAATGATCTTTAAATTGTCAGCCTGTCAAATGTTTAATTGTCTTTTTTTTATTCCTTAGTTTGTTTGTGTTTAATTCCTCCTCTTTTCTCTAACAGGATGTGTTAACGCTGCCCCGTTCCAGGGTCCCCCCTCCATCGTGTGACACAGACAAACCTCTGAGTCTCTGCATCTCTCTGGATGATTGTGTTGAACAGTGGATGTGATTAGGAGCAGGAGAATCTGCAGATTGACCATTTCTACTCACAGAGCCGTTCAGGACCTCTGAGAACCCCTCTAAGGGGGGATGCCAGTGTTGCTAAATGCCGACGTATCGTTCAGCTCCAGGCAGGAGCTCCTGGATCTGCAGGACGATGGAGGTCCCCTGTTGGACACGCCTAGTCCATTGGATTCCCAGACAGGAAGCCCCGTTGGGTCTGGTGCTGAAAGCCCCGGCACACCAGGAGCCGGGGGCCGAAATGGGCCCCTTATTTTCACAAGGGCTTCAAAGCTGCCAGGACAGTTTTATGAAGACGGCAGTCGGCCTGACACAGAGGTTCCTTTGGAGCTAACGCTAACACCCTCTGATCAACTGTGTGGTTGGGGAGCTCTGAAGCCCAAATTCCTCCAAGTGTTCAACACTCCGCGCTGGGTGCTGTTCTTCCTGTGCGTGGCCTCTTTTCTCCAGGGAATGATCATCAACGGATTCATCAACTCTGTGGTCACCTCCATCGAGCGACGCTTCGACCTGCCCAGCTCCCAGGCCGGTCTCATTGTCAGCTCCTACGACATCGCCGCCTGCATCTGTCTGTCCTTCGTCAGCTACTTTGGCGGCAGCGGGCACAAGCCCCGCTGGCTGGGGTGGGGGGTCCTCATCATGGGGCTGGGTTCCCTGGTGTTCGCCTTGCCTCATTTTACCACTCCCGCCTACTTGGTCAATGTGCAGGAGCAAATCGGGATGTGCTCTGCCAACGTGACCTACCAGTGCCAGGAGAAGGACGGCGAGGTGCTGTCAAACTATCGCTTCGTGTTCATGCTGGGCCAGTTTCTGCACGGCATCGGAGCCACGCCTCTGTACACGCTGGGGGTCACTTACCTGGACGAGAACGTCAGCTCCAAGTACGGACCCGTTTACATAGGTCAGTGCCAACAAGTCTGCAGAAAACTTCTCATTTACCTAAAGTCACAACTGATCAATTTCACCAAATTTCAAAGTTACATTTATTTTTTTTAACCTATATTGCAATTGTGATTTTATAGCAAATTTTCATTTGCACTAAGCATAACCATAGCTGTGTTCAAATGGCCGCCCTAACCCCTATATAGTGCACTATATAGCGATTACGAGATTTTAGATGAGTATCCGAACATCTAGTGGATAAAAAAGTAGGGGACTCGAAATTTCCCACAATGCACCTGGAAAAGCAGTGATCATCTACGCTCACTAGACGGGCAGCTATATCCCCAACTGCTTTACGACAGCTTTCCTCAGCAACCATTATGGAATTTATCTGAGGCAACAAATAACAAAGAAGGCGGGGAGGTGGAGTCACGTTTCCAACAGCAAGTGAAAAGTATGAATCATCTGTCTGAAAAGCCAGTTAACTGAGTTCACTATAGAGTGCACTATAGAGTCCCTGCTCTATATAGTGATGGAGGGATTTAGGATGGACGATAGGACACAGCCTTAGCCAATGTTTTATTCCAGTGTTTTATCTTTTCCATAACCTTGAAAGCCTGCTTTTCCAGATTCTATTACTGCAGTACTTTGCTGTAACATTTGCATGAAAAAGTTCTTACTTCTGCTATAAAGCATAGATCTAGGTGCTGGCTACAACTCTCTGTTCCCTGCTGTGTGACAGCATTCCCACTTTAACTGTATTACTTAGGGATGCACGATATAATCGGCCCCCTATCGGTATCGGCCTTAAAACTGAATATCGGACATCGGCCCCCCCACCGATATTTAACCCGATATTTGATCAGCTTCTGAGTTTCTAAATTCTAAAAAAAAAAAAAAATACTACTTCTTCTTCTTCCTCAAAAACTTATTTTTTACAGACTTAAAAACTTCTAAAGACGAGGGAAAAAATATTGATACATTAAAATATCCCAATATCTTCATATGCTGATATATTGCCATTTAAAAACACCATATCAATCTCTTTTACTAATGAAATATTGCTATATGTCATCGTTATGCTACGAAATCCCCCGAAAATTCACCAAATGTTGCCATATTTTTATATGTTGATATATTGACGCGGTATCGATCTATTTTACTAACAAAATCTCACAAAAATTAGCAAAATATCACGAGAGTTTGTAACAGAACGATGAAATTTCACAAGATCTTCAAAGTAAAATAGATCGATACCGCATTTTTAAAAATCAATTTGATATCAGCATATGAAAATATATTTAAGTATATTATTTTTCAAAGTGTAAGAAATGGATAACAAAACTGCTATTTTCAATGACTACTTATTTTTGTCCAGCTTTAACATCGGTATCGATATCGGTTATCGGCTACACGAGTTTTAAAATATCGGCATATCGGATATCGGCCAAAATCCCAATATCGTGCATCCCTAGTATTACCGCCATCCAAGGGAGAAATTTTGTGTCTTTTTTTGGTTAAATGTGTTGTGACTAAAATTTAATGCGATTTGAAAATTTTATTTTTCTATTTTGAGATTATATTGAAAATACAATTAATTTCCCAGCCCTAGTCACGACCCAAACTAACATGTGCTGAACTTCAGTACGTGGAAGTGTTTAGATGGGAATTTAACATTTAACTTGAAAGTTTTGAAGAAACGTGCCTCCAAAGAGGAACCTTTGAAAGTTATTTCTTTTACCGAGACGTTTCTCCCAGCGTCATTCTTCTCACTTATTCAGACCTGAAATAATTTCCATTCATGTCAGAGCTTCCTCTAACTAATTTCACAGCAATTTTATTGATGAAGCTCATTTAAACCAAAACTAATTCAGAAACAGGTTATATGACAATATATACATATATATATATATATATATATATATATATATATATATATATATATATATATATATATTAGTGCTGTCAAAATTATCGCGTTATTATCGCGTTAACGCGAGGCCATTTTAACGGCGATAATTTTTTTAACGTGAGATTAACGCTATGTGGTTTTATGGTACAATTTTCCAAGTACATCCCGCTGCAGCCTGCGAGAAGGCGGGGCTATTTTCCCCCAGTGTATGCATTTCTCATAGGCTTCGAGAGCGGAGCTCCTCAAGGAAAAAGACGCTCATACACTGGGTGGCGCTAGTGCCTTTTCTTTAAGCCCCACCACCAACAAACAAGTTGAGTGTCTGGTAACTAGTAGCAACCTGAAATACGCTGAGAAAACAGATTACTGAGGTGAAATGGAATCTGCTACGGCACTCTTGCTGTCTGTGTACGCCACAGGTCGGTATCGTGTCTGTGTGTGTGTTCTCATTTTTGTTAAGAGGCTGAAAAGTAACTTTCTAGAGCATAGACTACCTCCATCTAGTGATGTCGGTCTATTGATTTTGATGTATTGATTGAAAATTGTTCATTATTACCTTGGTTAATTAACATCTAATGTTAACTGTACTGCATTTTATAGCAGTAGGGTAAAATGCTTGTCTTTGTTCAAAAGACTGTATTAACTGTAAAGACTGTCTTTTACATCAGCCTGTTTTCAGGGCCTTTTTTTTGGCTACATATTTGTTATTTTTTGCTACATGCCTCCCCATCTTCTTGCCATATGTTTCTATGGCATAAATCAGTATCTGTGACCTGTTTTCATTTTAAAAAAAGAACATTGGCACAAACCTAGCCTGTATGTATTTTTTGTATGTTATCGAGAGTATTTAAATGATTTTCAATCAGAAAAAAAATTTGCAGTTAAAATGCGATTAATCGCGAGTTAACTCAGGCATTGATGCGATTAATCGCGATTAAAAAAATTTAATCGATTGACAGCACTAATATACTATATATATATATATATATATATATATCCTCGTGCCTACGAAACATAAACATCTCCTCCTTTTATGCATGTTTCTTTTCCATTAGAATGAATTTCTGACAAGCTTCGTTTCTAGTCCCAATTAGTGCTTAACCCCCTGTCCCAAAGCAATTGCGCCCATGGGAACCTGCGTCAAAAAGCACTTATGTTTCTAAACTATTTAAACAAAAAGATGCTTCCACAAAACACTATACAACCTAAAACTTCTTGGTTGTGGTTCGTTGCTTGCTTTGCATACCAGGCTCTTCCCTACCTTACTAGATGAAGGTTTGTTTAATTACATCAGAAAGATATTATTTTACATATTAAAAGTTTTAAAATTTATAATAAAAATATTTAATGTTCTTCATCGACTTATCCATTGTGAAGCGATAAGATTCATGCGATCTCCTCCTTAAGCCAACTCGCCACGAGTTAAAGAAACACAGTCCACCCCACAACCAAATGAGATGTACACTGTAAAACTGATCGATGACCCTCATATTAACTAGTTGTGCTGACACGCCTTGACCCTCTTTGGTCTCTCTCTCTCCAGGGATCTTCTACACAGCAGCGGTTGTGGGTCCTGCTGCAGGATACCTGCTGGGAGGTTACTTCCTGGACATCTACACAGAGGTCCACCTGACGTGAGTCCAGTGGGAACGACATACAGAGATCCACAGGATGAGAGGGACATACAGAGATCCCACCTGGAATAGTTCAGACTGTGTGGAATCTTTTAGATTTCACTTTGTTAGAGACGTGAGAATGACGGGAAAAAAATCCTCTGTGCCGTATGGCAGAAAGCATTAATACTCATACGTTTTCCTCCTTTTCATGCCACACTGCTTATTAATTTCCTTTAGAATTAATTTACAGACAGAGATAAACTTCTGTGCTTTGGAGGCGTCCCAAGATGAGTGCAGATTAAAGCCCTCATAGCTAAACCCCCTACCAAGCAGTTAGAAGCAGCCCCAGCTGAGCCAACCCCCTGACCTGCGTACAAAATAAAGCAGAAGCAGCTTAAAGTGTTTTCTAAACATTAATATCCTCAATCAACAACAAGATAGATGTCAAACAACACGATTAATCATTAAACCTAAAACTTCCTCCATGTTTTGTTGCCTTAGAGGTTCACTAAGGCGTGTCTTGCCTCTTTCAGTACTCAGGCTTCTCCTGCTCCTTCTAGGACAGGTTTGCTGTTGGAATTACATTTTATGAGAGATATTCATTGGTTAACTAAATAAAGTCTTGATAAAAGTTCAGCTGAATAAACAGCATCATTAATGCTCATCCAATCAGAGGCTTATCCATCTGTGAAGCAGCCAATAAAGATTCAAATGCATCTCCTCTTAAACCAATCAGCATCCAGAGTTTAAAAGACTTCAACTAACAGCTCCAGCCGCCAACAACCAACGTCTGAGATGGATCCGTGTCAGACTTTGATTCTGATGACCCTCATTCAACCCCTTCTCCATCCATCTCTCCTCCATCTGGTCCAACTTTCCTTCTCAACTTTCTCTATTTACTGAACGTCAACAGATCCGTTTATGTAGAGCCTGGTTCTGACAAAAAAATTCTCTCCACTGTCGCTCTACATTTCTTCATCATGGAGGTTCAACCTACACCTTGCCCCAGCTAGCATCCATCTCCATTCCACTGCCAGGCCTTTCATCCCTGCTCCCATTCTTCAGGGCTGAGGCCTGAGCACCAAAGTCCTAGAATATTACTAATATTATAATACTTTTGAGAGTTTCTAAGGTTGAAATAAATATTAAAAACTGTAAATCTTCAATTTGTTGCAGATAAGCTGAGTTGTTTGGAACAAATAATCAGAGATGAATGGAGATACTGACACTGATGTAGCAAATAAAAGCCAAAGATCGTCTTTAAACTTCTGATTTTACAGCCTCCATAACGGCGACACTATAATGTTAGTGATTGTTTGCTTTTATTTGAGGGAGTAACTGACATCAGGAGCAGTAAGCGGGTCAAAGGTCAGTGTCTCACAGAAAGTCGTGGTCTGTGTGTTGCAGAACAGAGATGACTCCAGATAACCCTCACTGGGTGGGGGCCTGGTGGGTTGGCTTCCTGGGAGGAGGAGCAGCTGCTCTGCTGGTAGCTTTCCCCGTGCTGGGCTACCCGCAGCAACTGCCAGGTACCATGGAAACGCTGTCGCTGTGGCATCAGCATCACAGCCATTCTAATGTTCATCTCACGTCATGTCCTGGGTTCATGCAGGGTCGCAAAAGCACCAGGCGGGACGGGTCTCTGAGGCCCACCAGCTGAAGGATGGGAGCCACGCTGAAGCATCGGACCCTCAGTTTGGAAAATCAGTCAAAGACATGCCGAGGTAGGAGTCTGATCAAAACGAGCCAAGTCTCTAAATTAACATTTAAAGCTTTTTAGAGTTTTCATCTGATGCACCAAATAAAGTACAATAAAGCTAAAACTGAATCCCTTTTGATCACTGCTGCTCTTTAGGGGATGGAAATGTTAATTTACTGTGTGGAAAGCTGTGCTAAAAAGCATCTTGTTTTTCAGTGCACTCTGTGTACAAAATGACAGTAAAAGTTGTCTAAGTCTTCCTGTTAGACCAGCGGCCGTCATCAGTGCGAGTAATAAAACTCCAGGTTTTCCAATCAGACTCCAAACTGTTGAATAGATGTGTAGTAAATGGAGTTTCTGACACGGCTTTAAAACACAGTATTTCCTGCTGCTGTGTTGATTTTATAGAAAAGGTGAAGAGAAGCTGATGCCAGTCCTTTTTTTAAATAAATTTAATCAACAATTACATCCAAGATGCTTTGGCCTGAGTTGAAGTTGTAGCTATTTATGTTTTTAACATTTTATTAGTTTAACCTAGGGTAGTAATTCAATAACGATATATATCGATCGATAGACGTGTAGCGCAATAGAAAAAAGAGAGTCGATAAAAGTTCGATAAAGAAACACAGTTTTCCTTCCTTCTCATTGTAGCCTAGCATGTAGGTTTATGCTAGTCACTGCTTCCTCCCAACCAATCGCAATCGCGGACCCAGGCACGCCGTCACCAAGCGCCGCCCTCTCAAACCCCAACACAGAGCACATGAAGATGTCGCAGCAAGGAGAGGCGGAGGAAATTGTTTCAAAGAAGGGTTTTTGTAGTTCGCCAGTTTGGCAGTATTTCGGTCATGGCAAGTCGGACCAAAAACAAACCACAGTCATCTGGAAAATGTGTAGGGAACCAGTGAAACCAGTCTGGTAACACAACCACCTTTTTTTTATCATCTCAGTCACTCACATCCGCAGGAGTACGAGCTGTGGAGGCCCCGGCGCGGCTCTCCTCCGAGGAATCTTCAGGAATTTCGGGAAAAAGAAAAAATAAATAAAATATATATATATATATATATATATATATATATATATATATATATATAAATTCAGTTCTGGGCAGTTTCCCACGTAGTTCTAACAATTGAGAGAAAAGTGCTAAGGGGCCAGAAACTTCAAAGTAATAACTCAGGTTAAAGCAGGAAGCTAAGCTGAACCAAAACGAGGTGCCAGCAGCACCTCTAGAAGAATAGGGGTGAGAAAACATCCCCCATAGAAATGCTAGGCTAAAGGGTGAGTTGATTTGGGTTTTTGTTCTTGTTGAGTGGAGTTTCCATGGTAGCCTAGTCCTACAATCTTTTAATTACCACAAGCTGGTGGTGGACTATTCCCAACCAAATAGGGGATTCTATTTATTTATTTGTTATATTTATTTTGGTCACTTTTCTGGTCACTTTAGTTTATTCTTTGTCAGTATTTAATAACATAACTCAGGTTATTTTTCTTTAAAACAATTCTGTTATGGTTAAAAAAGTTGGTTAAATAACACGACACCACGCACCATCAGGCTGAAAGTCGACCCCATCGAAAAATTCTCGCATGACTGAAAAATCGTCCTGAAAAGGGCAAAAGAATCATAAGTTCACTCTTGGCTTTAAAGGCACACTGTGTAACGTTTGGCCACTAGGGGCGCTAGACCTGTAACTGCCCATATTTTGCTTCTACTAAACATCAAAAATAATAACAAAGATATATGACTATATACTAGGAGCAAAGTATTAACTTATTAGTCTAATAATAAAGTTGAGTAAAGAGAATTTGTTTCATTTTCTGTCATTCTGCGCCAACGAACAAACTCCTTTCACTCGCTTTCACCTTTTGTCTTTTTTGGCTCAAAAGGTTTAAAGTTTTGCCTTCCCTCAGCCACGAGGCAGACAAGCAGGCAGAGAAATAGTAGAGCTGAAGCGTTAGCTCCATGGCTATAGAAGAGCCTGCGGTGGTAAAGCCATACGTTCTTCAAGGTCACATGACCTGGCCAAACGGCGGCGCACCCTCTCCCATCTGACATAGTCGGTACTTCAAGAGGGGAGCCCCGCTGGTAGCGTTGACAATCGCTGTATATTAGCCTGAGGAATCATTTAAAGTAACTCATAGACATGAAAAAGGTCACAAAGTCTGCGGTGTGCCTTTAAATCATGTGTTACAATTACTGACTCATTTTTCACACTCTGCTTGCATCTAATCAATAATACCAGCTTTGAATCTGTCGTATATTCTATGGACTTTTAAATTCCAGATATCCTTCGTTTTATCCTAAAGCCTTAGAACCTAGAAATAAAGTAAAAGATGTAGATAAATGAGAAGATCTTCTAAATTTGTGGAGTTTTGAATGTTGTATATAAACCACTCATTTAAAGGCTGGATATTAGCTGTCACCTCGGTAACGGTCATGAAAGCAGGACGTCGCAGGTGAGCGACGGTTAGGTGTCTGTGGGGGATTTACCATTAGGCAATACTAGGCACTTCACGAGGGCCCCAAGTCCCTGGGGGCCCCATAAAACTCTGTTTACATGTATGTTTATACAACTTTTACTTATTTATTCACATAAATTATGTTTTTGATAAAAATCCTTTCACTAAAATGCCATCAGAACGCTGATAATATTAAGTGTGTCTCAGCCCCCCCCCCCTTCATATTGGATCAGTCCATTTGCTGCACATGTTCAGAAAGGTCCAAACAGACAGCAGCAAACCATTTGAAAACAAACCATGCAAAGAGCAGTGCTGCCAACTTAGCGCTTTAGTCGCTATATTTAGCCACTTTTCAGACCCCTCCAGCGACTATTTTTCAAAAAAGCTCCTAGCGACAAATCTGGCGACTTTTTACGGTGTCACTGGCGGCTTTTGGAGACTCTTACGTGAAAGCATGTATCGTTCCTACTCTGCTGTGGGGCGCCTCCCCCATCCCAAACCCGTTCTCCCGCAGCGCTGAGTCCCTCTCAGTGCTGCAGTCAGAGCCGCAGGATGTTTACCCTCAGCGTCCAGACTGCAAATGAAGCGCGCATGCGCCGGGATTGACGGCGCAAATTGATCACGCGGTGCCGCTCCGCCCTGACTCACATTCAAGGCGGGAGCGAGCGGGATGTAAATGTAAAATGTTATTTGGTCTGTAACAACATTATTTCTCCCACAGCATCAATAACATGTATATCACTTCCTGTGGCAGATTATGCAAATTAGGCGATGACATCATTTAGCGACTTCTAGCGACTTTTAGCACAGCCAATAGCTACTTTCCTTACTGAGGAGTTGGCAACACTGACCCCTCTAGCACTTTGATTTCTAAAAAGCTCCTAGCGCCAAATCTAGAGACTTTTTTCAGCTACTGGAGACTTTGGAGACAACATCTAAAAGCAGCGAACTCTGCTCTCCAGAGCGAGTAGATTGGTAACCCCGCCTCCTGCTCTCCTCTATCTTGTCTGCTGTCATGATTCATGCAGCTATTTTTTCATCCAAATGAAAAATGGAGAACAGATAAGCAGATCATGGCTTGTCTACAGTGAAAAGAAGGACTGGGTTATTTACTTTGGCCTTTTTGGAAACACAGGAAGGAGCAATCAGCTAAGTGAGCTTAGTGCTTGGAAAAAATCTTTCATTCCTTTAGAGACAGCATGAAAAGTCAGCTGAGTACAAAACATAGAGAGGAAAACAGGAAGAAAAGGGACAAGAAGAGAGGGACACAACCTAGAACAGATAATGGATGTCTACTCTATTAACATTTCTCTATCTGGAGAACGGGTCTCTTTTATGTGTTGTCTTCTCCATTCAGAGGGGCCCGTCCTGTCTTTGCCTAGGGCCCCAAAATTCCTAAAACCGCCCCTGCCCCCAGAATGACGTCATCCTTTTGGGATTAGCACAGGATTACCTAAAACATTACATAAGGAGATTATCTATCTTTAGGTCAGCGGCAGTGATAATCTCTACAGCAGCCATTTCTGCAGACGGCTTTAATTAGAAAACGAAGCTGAGCTCGGTTTGCTCACAAACAAACAACCACATCTTCACATTGACTGAACTTTCTCCGTCTGCTTCCAGGTCTGTGCTGCTCCTCCTGAAGAACCCCACCTTCCTCTTCCTGTGTTTAGCCGGAGCCACTGAGGCTACGCTCATCGCCAGCATGTCCACCTTCGGCCCAAAGTACCTGGAGTCCCAGTTCAGTCTGAGCGCTTCTGAAGCCGCCACCTTGTTTGGTACGACACCGAGCCGACAGACCGAAAACCAGGGAAACTTACAGGAGAAAAAATAATAGGCTACAACAACCTGTTAGTACAGCGGCCGTGCTTTTAAACGGTTTACTAAGCTTTCCTGGTTTATTAAGGTCAAGAAAATATGTTACAAAAAAAGTGGCAAGAATCAAGTACAGTTAGTCAAATCTTTCCTGTCACAATTTCTTCTTCCCAAAGCTTTGAGCTGTAAAATATGGCAAGCCGATTGACATTTAATAGAAGCTCTATTGTTCCATTTGTAATTCTTTAAAATAAGATTCTTTCTGGTCAAAACTATGAGTCAGAACTTTACATAAAGATATCCTAAGTTAGATTTTTGCCAGCAAAAATTTCATTTCAGATCGCCAAAAATATTAGCCTGACGTAGTCCGACTCAATTCTAGTCAGAATATGAGTCTGATGCTGCTCCATAGAGCTGTGATTATGGGGCGTGTTTCGAACGAACCAGGGAAAAAAATGCCTCTGCACTCAATTGGATAGACCTACAACCAATAAGAGCAACGGAGTGCGTGACGTATGTTAAAGGAGAAGTTCACTTTTTAACACTTTAAGCCCATTTTCTGTAGTGTCCAGGATGAAATCGAATGATCGACACCAAAATTTTGACAATTGGTCCTGTCTCTGCTTTTTGGCTCATGCAGAATCCCCCCCTGGCTGCTTTAGAATGGCTAGCATAGAGCATGTCCGATAATGTCCTTAAAACAACCTTAAACGTTCTTTTTTTAAATATGCTACTCACCGGGTCGTCAGCGCTGTTCAATGACGTTCCAAAAAAAGTTTCGTAAAGAAAAAACGTTCCTGTAGTGTTTTATTTAGCATTTTGTAAATCCCATTGAGTTCTGTTGGAATAGTCAATATCCCTCCGCCACCGGAAACGGAAATGGGGCCTGTTTACGCTTAGTTGTAGTCTTTTCGCTTCACTCTGTGTCCTCCGACGTCGAGGTGCTAACGTCTCTGTTAAACACTTTAAAAAACTCTGAAAATGGAATACGAAAGGTGGATTCTTGATTCTCGACATCGGAGTACACAGAGTGAAGCGAAAAGACTACAACTAAGCGTAAACAGGCCCCATTTCCGTTTCCGGTGGCGGAGGGATATTGACTATTCCAACAGAACTCAATGGGATTTACAAAATGCTAAATAAAACACTGCAGGAACGTTTTTTCTTCACGAAACTTTTTTTGGAACATCATTGAACAGCGCTGACGACCCGGTGAGTAGCATATTTAAAAAAAAGAACGTTTAAGGTTGTTTTAAGGACATTATCGGACATGCACTATGGCAGCCATTATGAAGCAGCCAGGGGTGGATTCTGCATGAGCCAAAAAGCAGAGACAGGACCAATTGTCAAAATTTTGGTGTCGATCATTCGATTTCATCCTGGACACTACAGAAAATGGGCTTAAAGTGTTAAAAAGTGAACTTCTCCTTTAAGCGAGGCATAGTTGTTGTCCACAAAAATCAAAGCGTGCAGTTGCACGCCTATAATTCAATTCAATTCAATTCAGTTTATTTATATAGCGCCAAATTCACAACACATGTCATCTCAAGGCACTTTACAGTTCAACCAGATCATACAGTCAAATTGATACAAAGTTTTCTATCTAAGGAAAACCAGTTGATTGCATTGACTCATTGACTCAAATACAATCCCCCACACTAAGCATGCTTGTAGCGACAGTGGAGAGGAAAAACTCCCTTTTAACAGGAAGAAACCTCCAGCAGAACCAGGCTCAGTGTGAGCGGCCATCTGCCGAGGCCCACTGGGGTTCAAGGAGACAGAAGCAGAGATACAAAAAGCAGCTGTAAAAGGCGGCCCCGTCCAGGAAACACACAGCCAGGCAGACGAGCTCCAAGGCAGCTCCCATGCCAGAGGATGAAGAGAGCACATCCACTCAGTCACGGTCAGAGAAACAGGACCACACTGGAAAACAGGCCGATCTCCAACATCTATAAACAAGGGTGTTGATGGAAGCAGCACAGCTGATGTTTCTTTCCAGGATGACGTCACAGCCAAACAGGAACAGACGAGGCAAAGCTACTCTGAGGAAAAGCAGAGAGAGCAGAAGGTTAGAGATTGAACTAACAGATTCTGCAGAATAGGAAAATAGAGAGAGAATGAAGCAGAATGATGAAATGGGGGTCCCTATGTCCTCCAAAAGTATAATAAGAAGTATAATAAGAAGATGATACTTGATCGCGTTTCTCTGTTCCTCTTTTAAAATTAATTTGCTGTCGATATCTTCTAGAACAGACCTAATAGCAGAATCTACTCACCTAAACTCTCCAGCGGCAGCCATTGTTGTTGTCACCCAAGCGCACATTGGTCACGTGGTTGATTACGTGACTGTTGGTCATCTGTCCATCATCGTATAAAGCCCGCCCTGACAATTTGATTGGATCGCCTGACAGTGGGCGATAATACTCGCGCTACTATGGAGCAGAGCCAGACCGAACTTCCCCGACCTCAAACTTTGTGGGCGGGACTAAGTTCGGAATGGCACCCAGGCTACAAAAATATAGTGGTACTAGTAAGAATAAACTTTCCAATACCTTCAAATCTAAACACATCTTAAGATGCCCCTTTGACATTTATTAGCTTGACTGAATATGTAACCCGGATGTCTCAAATGCTTTTCTAGTATAAATGAATGTTTCAGATATCTAAAATAAACATTCTTCCTATCTAAAAATTAATTCTGGCGAGGACGAACTACTATCTAGTTTCAGATCCTAATAATAGAGTATGTGCTCGTGAAAATTACTATTTCAGGTTTCAAAAATGAATATAACATTACAGAATATACAGAAATCCGATTCTTGACATCAGAGATATATTTCTGGTTGTAGAAATATAATTACAGATATCAACCATTGCTATTTTAGACTCGTTACATTGGAATTTCAGATATTTAAGTTTTAACAATGTCTATCAAGGTGTATATAGATATCTGAAATGTAGTTTTTACTAGAACAAATTTGATTCCAGAGTAATTAAAATTCAATTTCTGTTGTTATAAATGTAATTAGTGATATCTAAAATAAAATCCTGACTAGGAACATTGTAATTGTGGCTAGCTAGGATGCTTTAGTGCTCTCTCTAATAGAAATGGGGCCAGCCTATTTTAACGGAACCGTATTATTATTTTTCAAGTATCTAAAACTAATTTTAGCTATCTGGAAATCTTATGAAACTAGTCCTAAAATAAGTAGTTGATCTGTAATTGTATTTCTACTAGCAGAAATATATTATTGAAGTCAAGAATTAGATATTCTGTAATGCTATATTCATTTTTGATATCTGAAATAGTAATTTTCACTAGGACTAAATCTATTATTGAGATCTGAAATTAGAGTTCATCCTCATCACAATTCATTTTTAGATAAAAATAATGTTTATTTTAGATATCTGGAAGTAAAAGCCCAATACACATGGATGGGGAAAAGTGACATAATTTATACTTGTAAGAATTACATTTTAGAAATCGGAAATGTTTATTTTGAATAGGAAGAAATGCATTTAAGACATCTGGATTACATATTCAGTCAACCTATTAAATGCCAAAAGGCCTTCCATAGCATGTGAGCTGAATGAATGATCACCTTTACAATCTGATGCGTTTATATACACTATAGTTGAATAAACCTTTGGTTCAAAATGGTCTTGGTGCCCAATTTGTTGGTACTTGACGATACTGATAGCACTATTTAGTGCTGGATCGGAGCTCCACCTGATACTAGTATTGGTATTGGTGCAACGCTAATAAACACACCCGCCTTCAGCTGCTGAGGATTAAATCAGCTGCTCCCCTGATGAAGGAAGCTAACAGTAAACTAGCGACAGCCTCAGATGTTCTTCGTTTGCTGCCGGTTTGTCACCTCTGAACCAAAGCCTTTAGATCTGTAAGAAAATGTAAAAAAAAAAGTGATCTTTTTCATCATAACCAAATAATACAGAAAACAACTTCCAGACGCAAACTTTGTCTGAGAAAAGATGAATGAAGGAAAGGCTGGAAGCTGGAAAATAAAAAATAAAACCATCGATTTTTCAACAGTTAGAAGACGTTCACTTTTTAAAGCCTCTTGTTTCTTTTCACCCTCCAGCAGATCTGTTTGTTCTAAAGAGGAACTTTACTGGATCGTTTTCCCTTTGTTGAAGGAAATAGGTCAGAAAGCTGTGAAACTGGTTTGTGTTTCACCGCCATGGTTCAAAACTAACCGTTATCCCTCAGCCAATGAAAACGCAGGATCAGATTTCACCGTGTCTGATTGTTCTTACATAGAACTGGTGTCGAATGTTTTCTCTCTTTGTTCCCAGTTTTACTTCACGCCCTCTGGAGCTTCTGCTTCTTTCTTCCTTGTTTGTCTCCACCTGTAATATCACTTTCCTCCATGTCCTTCTGGATCCAGGGCCCAGCGACGTGACATTGCTGTTTAACACGCATTAAATATGCCTTTAAAGGCAAACAATCAATCCAACATCCAGTGGCTAAAATAAACTAATCTGAAGTAATATTTTATATTGCAGCCTCTCTGGACTCTTCTACCTTCTTTTTATGTTGGGTGTCAGTTTGGCGAAGCCGTTAGCACCAGTACAAACATTTAGCATTTTATCTGATTAACACAGAGCGGAAAGTTAATTCCAATTTTATCTGCATCCAAATTTGTAATCTCATTTCAAACCTGCACACATTTTACAATACATATAATGACAATACATACAATACATATGCATGGCTTGAAAAGGGGATGGAAGAAGCAAAAGCTTAAACATATCCAATCCCCTCCCGCTCATCCCAGGGACACTCCTGCAAACGACAAGACAACACACTGGCCCAACGCTCCCCGTCCCTGCAACCCCCTCCCTACAGTACACCACCCTCATAGAACATCACTCACTCTCTTCCAGGTATTTTCTCAGGACATCCCGCTTAAATATTATTTTGAAACGGTTTATGTTTTGTTCCTCCGCTAAACTATTCCAGAGGGCAACACCACAACTTGAGATGCACATTGATTTCAAGGTAGTTCTTACTTTTGGTAACCTGACTCCGCCAGATGGATTTGCTCCGCATATCCATCTGGAAACCTTCCGTTGAAGTAATTTTGCGAAGGGGCGAAAATACTGGTTAGCTGATTGGCCTATGTTGGTGATAGACGGGCCAAATAAACCAATCAGATCAACGAAGCATATGACGTACTAACAGAGCGACGACGAAGAGGAGCCAATTGATAGAGCAAACTCTTGCCGAAACCAGTCGAGAGAAGAGCAAAAACATCTTTTCCTCTGAGAAAAGCCTCCAGAGCAGTGTTTTGCGCTTCTTTCACTGAATAAATACTCTGTAATTCCGATAAAACTTGGTCGATAGCCACGCTAACGCTAGTTTCATCGGCTGAAGCCGCCATGTTCTTTAGACTGAACTGTAGCGCTTCTCGTTGCGTCACACCTCAACCCGCCTCAAAGCCAACGCTGATTGGACATTCGTTTGGTCAACGGCTCCAAATTTTCTTTAACGGAGAGTCTCCAGACTGATCTGCGAGTGAAACCTTGGAAGCTCGCGAGATCAGGATGGTCTCACGAGGCTATACTTTTGGTTGGTAGAATCAATTTTCGCCTCTAAGATTATAAGTGCGAAGTGCCTCCCGCTCCTGAAAGAGTTTTAAGACATTTTCTGGAAGAGCGCCAGTTGACGCTCTGAACATTATTTGCGCAGTTCTTAAGTTTACAAGATCAAACAATTTTAAATTGGAGGATTTTAGAAACAATACATTTGTGGGATGTAAATAATTTACTTTATGAACGATTCGAATGGCTCTTTTTTGCAGTGTAACCAGGGGCTGAAGATTGGACTTAAAATTATTTCCCCAAACTTTGATAAATTAATTCAAATACGACATAAAGACTGAGCGATACACAAGGAACAATGCATTTCAGTTGAGGAAGGGACGTGCTCTGTTCATCACTCCCACAGATTTAGCAACTTTTGTGCGCAAATAATTAATGTGATCTTTCCAGGACAATGTCTCATCTATAATCACACCCAAAAAAGTATTTTGTTTAACCTTCTCTATTCTTACATTATCAATAATAATTTCAATTGGAACATTAGTTTCCCGTTTACCAAATAACGTTAGTTTAGTCTTTTTCATGATGATCATTCATTGTTGTTGAACCATTTGTTTAACTTTAACATTTTGATTGTTACTTGCACCAAGGGTTGCTCATAGTTGTCACCAGTGAATACAATATTAGTGTAATTCGCGAAAAGTACAAACTTCATAACAGAAGACACATTGCAAATATCATTTATGTACATCATAAATAACGTTGGACCCAAAATGGAGCCCTGCGGTACTCCACACATTATGCCCCTGAGCCCAGATTTACTCACCAAATAGATACATTCATCCAAACTGGGTATATATTGACATAATTATTGTCTTTAACTTCATATTTTAGACAGATTGATGCCACTGAACCCAAACAGAGTCTGGCTTAAATAAACAAACTGAACTAAACTTTTTTTAGTACGGAGGCTGAGAGCTGTGCTACTCAACCTCTTTTTTTTTGCCTTATCGAGATAATGACATAATGTCGTTATCAAGTTTAAACCATTAATTGTTTTCTCAAGATAACAAGATAATTACAGTAGCAGACATTCAAAATGGCGCTTCCCATTCAAACGCCAGCGGAATGGCAGCAAAATCCCCTCCAACTTCCAGCATTCTCCTGGGCGTGCATACTCTTTGCATACCCTTTCACTGAATTACAGGGTCTGACCAGGAGATAACGCTTCTCTTTAGATCTTAATGTCCACAAATCATGACAAAAAGAATATTTTAGACGTTTAAAAAGGAATTGTAGGGGACTAGCCAACATCAAGGAAAATGGGGAAATTTAGAATGGATTCTACTGTATGTTGTTATCACAAGAAAACAGTTATTGACCTCTTGAGATAACAAGATGATTTTTTCCTCTCCATTGTCGCTACAAGCATGCTTAGTGTGAGGGATTGCTGAAGAGTCAATGAGTCGATGCAATCAACTGGTTTTCCTTAGATAGAAAACTTTGAATCAATCTGACTGGATGATCTGGTTGATCTGGATCTATAAAGTGACCTGAGATGACATGATGTGAATTGGAGCTATAGAAATAAACTGAATTAAAGGTACACTATGCAACCGGTGTTGATTTTCCAGTGAGGCTCCCTCCAGAGGGCGAAAGTAAAAGTGCACTGTCGTAAATATGCTCAGCTGTTCTCCTGGTTTCTCCGTCAAGCCAGGCGCGGTTGTTTTCAGCTTAGCAGCGAATGACTAACGCTGCGTTCACACTGGACGTAGCTGGCGCGACAGAAGCAGCGAGTTTACATGCAAAGTCAATGGTTGACGCGCGTCAAGGCGCAGCAAAAGGTCCAGCGGCGCGTTTTGAGCACCAGGCGCAGCACGTCTGAGCAGCTGAAGCAGCGCGTCGGGTGCGTTTAACGCAGGGAGAGAGACACAGCGCTGATGATCTCTCCTCTTAAACAGTTTATTGACGCCTAAATTAACTTAAAATGCAGAAATCTGCCGGCAGAATATGCAGTTTGGATTATTTAGATGAAAAACACCTACCAGCTGCCGCGGTGAACCGCTGCTGATGAAGGGATCCATACTGTCGGCGCCCCGCTGGTATGTGGGGGTCTGAGCGGCTCCGACAGAAAAAATATTAAAGGCAGGATAATAATCTGAATGAACTGACTGCACTGATTACGTTTTCAGGTGTATTTTCTCACTTAAACACATATTAAAACTACTTTATTCCCACTGATCACAGCAAATATAGCTGCAAGGCAGAGAAAGGATAGTGAAGCTCCGCCCAACGCGCCTCAGACACAGCCGGAGCAGCAAAGCTGCTTCAGCCGCGCGTCAGAACTAACTGGTACAAGCAGCAAAAATGAAGCAGCAGACGTGATTTTGCTGCTTTTGCTGCGTGATCGTAGCATAACTGCACAAAGATCGCCACTGTGCTAGCAACGAGAATGCTTTTAACTGGGGGGTGTAGCAGTTCTAGCCGTAAAGCAAGACTGACTCTCACGAGACTTCTGAGCCTGTGGGTGCGGGTCGGTGCTCCTGCAGTTGCAAGTGCAGTATTTCCCCCACAGACGACCAGGGCGGCCGAGAATACCTTTGTTCAACCTGAAATGACTCATTTAATTATCCAAAACGTTATGGAACACATTAATTAACTGAAAAATGTTGCATAGTGTCCCTTTAAATAAGCTTAAATTGAATTGAATTAACCTGTCTGAGTAATGAATGAGGCTGGATAACAGCCGTCCATCCAGTCGTTCTTTTTGCTTTCACTCATTTTCGGGTCGTTGTGGATGATTGGATTTCATGGAACACAGTAGAAAGAAATCTCACTGATTTTTAATGAGAAACTTTAATCTGGAGTCATTTGGGGGTTAAAGCATCTTATAGCTGTTACAGGCGTAACACCAGGGCTGTTCAGAAAGCACCCGGCACTAAGGCGCCCGAGGCATGAATCAGAAATGGAAGCAAATCATCAAACCAACAACGTCGTTTAGTTACCTAAAAGTTAAACACAGGATTATTTACAGAATGACACATAGGCTGCCGTTACTGTTTGTGGTATTGAAGGATGGAATCAGTTTTAGCGCACACCAATCATCACAAACACTAATGAGAAAATTATCATCTGGTTATCACGGAAAAACCACAGTGAAAAAGTATCAGAGGGAAACGACTCCTCTGGGCTTCCATAATTTAGCCCTCTACTTTGCATTTGATTTGTTCTAAGTGGAAACATTTGTAAAAATAATTTCTGCCTTTTGTAATTTATTTACATGTATATTTTTATCTTGAAATTGATGGGGAGTCATGTGTAGGACGGCCTTAAAGCATAACAGCCAATAATCAGAGGATCATACGTGAAATCAGCAACCTAAGAAAACAAATTTCTTAAGATCCTATCCAGCATCTAACAGACTCCCATCCTACTGATACTCAATGCTAACAGCATTTAGCCATCAGTACACATCTGATTAGCAGGAAGCTGTTTTAGTTCTTGCTAAGCCAATCAGAGCCTGAGGCCTTGGAGGGACTGAGATCCTGTCACCATTCTCGCTTCCATCCAGGCCTCAACATGCAACGCTAAAACAAATTTCCCTCTTCATGGTGATTTCTCCCGCTGTCTCTGACCCGTTAGGATTCATGGTGGTACCAGCAGGGGGCGGCGGTACCTTCCTGGGGGGCTACATCGTGAAGAGGTTGAACCTGCGCTGCCGAGGGATCATCCGCTTCTGCATGATGTCTGCGCTGGTCAGTCTGCTCGCCATTTTCATCTTCCTCATCCACTGCCCCAACGTCCCCATGGCCGGCGTGACAGGCCCCTATCAGCCTGGGCTGATGGGAGAGCGCCGACTGGACCAGGACAAACACCTGTATGCCAAACTCAGCCAATCAGGACTCAGAAACAGGTGAGCTCTAAACGCCAAACAGCTGGAAGCTGAAATAAAGAGTTACATCCTGTAATCTCCATTTATTCCCATTTCATGTTAGCTAAGAGCCTCTTATTCGCTTCGGTAGGTTGTCATTTTAAAGGAAGGAAGGGAAATAAAAGGAAAGGCCTCTAATAAAGGTCAACAATAAAAATCTAAATTCTTATGGGAGAATTATCCTGCCATGATGCAGGAGCACATAATTTCAATTTGAGAAAAGAATTTCATCTTCTTGCACTCAAAACTTGAAATCAAATATTTTCTCTTCTCTGTCAAATCTTTGTTTCTTCTCTCAGATTTAATGCTTCTTACACAGATATTTTCTCCTCTCGCTTGCCTCCTTCTCTTCGCGCACAAACCGCGCTCTGCTCGAGTCTCAGATACGCCCAGTCGGCCTCAGCTTAATTTCTGCTGGAGGCAGAAATAAAAAAAATTAAAAAAAAGTTTGCTAGTCAGGGCAGATGCTAATTCTGCCTCCAGCAGAAATTAAGTTACTTTTCATTGGTGATTCTTGAATCGCCCTTTATTATTTCCTTTTTTTATTTTCCTGATTGTTGTTGTTTTTCAGCTTCTTATTTTAATAGCTTTTAAATTAAAAAGCCATTTTATTGTCAGTAAGGTTTATCACAGACACACTCAGTAGAGTTATACAAGCGCACCCTGTCTGAGGCTGTCGTTCTATTGGCTGGAAAGGTTGCTAGGCGACGATCCGATCCAATCTGAGAGAGAGCAAAAAAAATCCGCAAGCAGAGCCTACGGGTTTGGGAGCGTATCTGAGACTCGAGCAGAGCGCGGTTTGTGCGCGAAGTGAAGGAGGCAAGCGAGAGGAGAAAATATCTGTGCAAGAAGCATTAAATCTGAGAGAAGAAACAAAGATTTGAGAGAGAAGAGAAAATATTTGAGAGAGAGTGCATGGTTTGAGTGTGAGCGTTATAAGTTTTGAGTGCAAGAAGATGAAATTATTTTCTCAAATTCAAATAATGTCTCCCATACATTCTAAATACTAAACAAGAAGTAAAACAGAAGAGCAGTCTTGGTAAGAAAATAACTAAAACATAATAAGAACCAGTGTTGCGCCAATGACTTGTTTTGGCCCCCCCACCTGGCTATGCAGTGTCAGCCGATATCGATACCATCTATTTGAAATTGATGTGTGTGTATATATGAAGAACTGCAGACTAATTGGATGTAAACTAATTGCCATCATGGCTTCATGTCAAGCTGCTGCCTTCCTTTGTGAAGCAGGAAAAAGACTAAAACAAAGTGAATCCAGTAGAACTTTTTATTCCCTACCTGGAAGGGGTGACAATAGTTGAGGAAACGTTTGGCTCTCAAAAGGGTATTGGTGCCCTATTGGTTGGTACTCGCCAAAACCACCATCTTAGTGCTGGATCGGGGCCCCATCCGATACTGGTACCGAGGCAACACTAATAAGAATCTCCAAATCAGAGACTAAGCCGGGCGTACACTGCAGGATTTCCTTCCCTTTTCTGGCCAATTCTCCAATGGCGAGAATTTTTCAATCAGATGGTGCGTTATGTCGTGTACAGGGCGTAACGAGGGGCGATCAGCGTCTCATGGCCACCTCCCCATCAGGAATCATAAGGTCAGGAGAAAATTAAATGGCCGTCATAAGGTGGTCGTGGGCAAACTAGGGCCGTTTCTCAATATGCGTTCTTGAGCGTTCTCGTGTGCTCGTGACACGTCATCAGCCTCAGCCCGAGTACCGTTCCAATTCTGGAGAACGCCAGATCGAGAACACACCATATCCCCGGATGTTGTTCTGGCCCCGCCCTCTTTATCGAGCATGCATCAGAGCAGACTTGTGCGTTCTTCAGACTGACCGCTTCCCCAGAATGCCCCGCGGCCGCAGCTTGATTCCAGACAGCGCTCCCAGTGTTAAGTTAAACATTCCCTTTTCTGCTGCTGTTCTTCAAAAGTACGTTTTGAAATCGTTTGAGGCGATAACATTATACATTGAAGCCTCCCTGTGTGGTCTGTTTACAGAGTTAGTGCGACATAAAAAAAAAAAAGTCCAACGTTGAGCGGACCAGAGTGACCAGCAGACCTCCGAGGGTAACCGCAGCCAGGGCTAATGTTACGCCGTCTGTAGTGCACTTCTCTCGGTCTAGTTATGTGTGAACTACCGCTCGTTCTGATGGCGGTTTTTTGCGGTTCAGTAATTTTTTTTTATGTTTTTTAAGCTTTAGAAATTAAAAATATTGTTTTCAAAATGTTTTGTGTAGGGAATAAATAGTTTTGACTGTTAAAGAAATGCTAAACAACGTTGCCTGTGATGACGTCATGAGTACGCTTCTGTTCCAATACACATACGTGCTCGCGTTCTCGTCAAGTCCGATCTTCCTGCGTTCTCGCCAAGAACGGACTTGACGAGAACCCGAGTACGTACTCGCGTTCTCGTGAATTGAGAAACGGCCTAAGATTCTCCTTCTTCCTCTCTAGCCTGCATACAATCTATCTGATTTTTTTCAGCAGGAAATCCTGAAGATGGGTTCAAAGTCACAAACTGCTGGTTTCAGGTGGAGGATGCTGATGCTTTAAGGTGGACCAGAGTTTGGCTGTTAAGATGAGCTTGAGCTGCTTATAACTTTCCATCATTAAAATTATAGAATTAGATAATGAATTAATTAGAAAGAAAAATATGAAACATTGCATTAATTAGAAAGTTAAAGGGACGGCAGTGGAATGAGACAATAAAAGAAAGTTTAAGGAGTTGGGAGATGAACATGGAGGTCCTCCTCAGCTGATGAAGGTCTGACTTTACTCTTCCTCCCTCTGAAAGGAGAAGTTTATCTAAAAAACCTGAATAAGTTCAGCTATTCAAGCTTTTCTTCTCTCTGGAATTCAGAGCTGAACTTTAAACAACCTGAAAGGAAATGTTTGTTAAAGGTCTGAAACTGAAATATTTATTCTCAGCAAAGGTAAACAGACAAGGTGACTGTTTTAACCTGAGCAAACAAAACCTTTATCTTATTCTAATGATAAAAAATACTCATTCCATTGGCAAATCATTTATCTGCTCAAATTAAGGATAAATAAACTTGACTTAAGAAATGCTGATTTATTTCTAGATTGGTTTTGCAGTGTTGATCAATGCTAAATTTATTCAGAATAAAACACTGCAAACATTTCTTAAATCAAGTTTATTTACCCTAAATTTTAGTGTATAAATAAGATGATTTGCCAATTTATTTAATATTTTTACTCTTAAAATAAGATATTTAGATAATATGTGCTTGTAGATCTATAAGACAATTCGATTGCCTTTTTTAAATGTCAATTGTCTTGTTCCATTGGCAAAGTGTCTCACTAACCTCCTCAGTTCAAGACAAAATTCACTTATTTTAGGAAACAATGACTTATTTAAATTGTTTAAAGATGCGGTGAATGAAACTTCATGTCTGTTTGTGAGGCTCATGGTTTTTAAACTCTTAATGTTGGTTCTTCAGCCTTTAGCTGCAGGCACTGATTGTTCCAGGTGGATTTTAACAACCTGTTTCTGTCTCCATCCTCCTCCTGCTGCCTGCAGCTCCTCTCCAGACCTGAACCTCACAGTCAGCTGTAATGCAGCCTGTAACTGCGCCAGGCAAGTCTACAACCCAGTGTGTGGGGCGGACGGGCTGATGTATTACTCCCCCTGCCATGCCGGCTGCTCCTCCACCAACCACACTGACCCCTCCACCGGCAGACAGGTACAGAACGCTCTGTTCCTCCTTATTTCAGGAGCGTAGAAAGAAAACGGCAGGAGCTGCAGAATCGCCAGCAGGCTTACTGATATTTCCTCTGTTGTGTTTGAACATTCAGCTGTTGCTGAATGGGGGGGGGGGGGGGGGGGGGGGGGTTAGTAAATATGCACTTCCTCTTGTGTGCAGCAGGTGCCCTTGATGTAGACCAAAGTAATCTGGTACAAGTTCAAAAGTTCGGTTTTAAACTTCTGCTCTGTTCTGATATTTTGATATTTTCCTGTTTATGTTTTATTTTCTTATCATTCACCTTTGATCTTTTTTAATTCGATTACACAGATCTCTGAAAAAAATGACACATAATCTGAGATTGGCCCTCTATAGTTCTGCTGCTATAGGCTTAGACTGCTGGAGGACATAGGGACCCCTTTTTCATCATTCTGCTTCATTCTATCTCTATTCTCCCACTCTGCAGAATCTGTTAGTTCAATCTCTAACGTTCTGCTTTCTCTGCTTCCATCAACACCTTTGTTTCTAGATGTTGGAGCTTGGCCTGTTTTCCAGTGTAGTCCTGTTTCTCTGACTGTGACTAACTGGATGTGCTCTCTTCATCCTCTGACATGGGAGCTGGCTCGGAGCTCGTCTGCCTGGCTGTGTGTTTCCTGGACGGGGCCGCCTGTGGAGCTGGTTGACAGCTGCTTTTTGTATCTATGCTTCTTTTTCTATGTCTGCTTCTGTCTCCTTGAACCCCAGTGGGCCTCAGCAGATGGCCGCTCACACTGAGCCTGGTTCTGCTGGAGGTTTCTTCCTGTTCAAAGGGAGTTTTTCCTCTCCACTGTCGCTACAAGCATGCTTAGTGTGAGGGATTGCTGAAGAGTCAATGAGTCGATGCAATCAGGTGGTTTTCCTAAGATAGAAAACTTTGAATCAGTGTGACTGGATGATCTGGTGAACTTGAGATGACATGTAGGCGCTTTAGAAATAAACTGAATAGAATTGATTAAAACAAACAGGAAGAATAAGGAAACTTTTATAACCAGCTCTGATAAGGAGGTCGGCCTGCGGCGTGCAGCACTTCTAATCCACCTATTTCTGCGTTCCAGGTGTACTCTGCATGCAGCTGTGTGCTGGGGAACGGATCCTGGGGAGACGGCGGCTTCACTCTGGCAGGGAAGTGCAGCAGCTCCTGCAACCACATGGCGCTCTTCATCAGCTTCTTCTTCATCAGCATCTGCTTCACTTTCCTCAGCAGCATCCCGGCTCTGACTGCCACCCTCAGGTAAACGGCAGCAAGCAGCACAGCTGGTTCACCTGAGCGATGAAACAAGGAAGACAGCTGATGAGTTTAAATGTCAGTTTATTATGGACATTTTAAGGATTGAACAGGTTGATCTCTGAAGCCAAATTATTACAGAAGGAGCGTTTGATGGAGTACGACATTAATAATTAGAATATTTCTTCTTTTTGATCCCATCCTGCTCAGATTCTTCACAGATGCTTAAGTTCGAGGAAACTAAATAAATGCTGGAAGGAGGAAATGAATAAAGTTATCAGAACATTTTAATCAAGCCTGATTTCAAACTGTTTAAGGTTGATTAGTGTGTCTCTATTTATTATAAATACTTTATTTTTCATTTATAATACATATTTTTATCTTTATCTCTATCCAGCTGTTGTTGTTACTTTGGTATAATGTTTGATTTGTTAACTCAGTCGGAAATTAACATTCCCATCGTTTAGGCACCTTTTTTTTTTTTTTTTTTAACAAAAGCAGATAAAAACTTATGGATTTGTTATAAATGTTTGATTTGTAGCATTTTCTGTTAGTTTTGACTAAATTAAAGTCTGTTTGGGACACGTGGAACATATAAATGGTTCATTTAAATATAAAAAAAATCCAAACAAGTCACAATTCTGACCACTAGGTGGCAGCAAAGACCTTTAGATAAACCCCAACTGGTTCATTTGCTGCAAATGTTTTCAAATCACAGCTTTGGATTAAAGTTTCCAGAAAGTTTTCCTCATCAGACTGAACTTTGTCCCATAAACAGATGCGTTCCAGACAGTCAGAGGTCCTTTGGACTCGGCATCCAGTGGATACTGATGCGTACTCTGGGTAGGTCCTTAGACAGTCTGAGTTTACGTCCATCTCAGAACCGCAGCTGAAGGACGTTTTTCCTCTTCCAGGCAGCATTCCAGGACCAATCGCCTTTGGATCCCTGATTGATATTTCCTGCTTGCTGTGGGAGGATAAGTGTGGCGATCAAGGATCCTGCTACATCTATCAGAACTCTGCCATGAGTCGCTACACGCTGATCGCTGGAGTCCTTTATAAGGTGATACTTTTTGCTTTTAACATCACTTCTTCTTTTGCCTTCATGAAAACGTTCTTTCTGCTTTACTTTCACACCACATCGTCCCCACTGTGGATCAATGAATGCTTATTCTATTCTGTTCTATTCTGTTTAGATATATTCTATTCTATTTCAACCTGTTCTATTGTTATATCCTATTCTGTTCTGTTATACTCTATTCTACATATTCTAGTCTGTTATATTCTATTATGTTCTAATCTGTTCTATTCTGTCCTGTTCTATTATATTTTGTTATGTTAGAATATATTCTTTTCTGTTACGAAATATTATATCCTGCAGATAATGAATAAGTGATTAACTAGAACTGGAGTTATAGTTAATTATTTAACTTATTGAAAATCGGAGGTGAAATCAGTTTAGTGTTTTTAGTTGAATAATTGTAGCTCTAATTTTTTTACTAACCAGTGTTTATGCCTTTCACCTCTCGATGGTTCCAGGACCGGCTGTTAAAATCCAGTTATCCTCACCAATCTAGTGACCCAGGCTGGGTTATCAGCAGAGCTATTAATCATCAATCAAAGAAATATTTATCTCTGTTTATTCAAACAGAGGAGAGGAAAAACTCCCTTTGAACAGGAAGAAACCTCCAGCAGAACCAGGCTCAGTGTGAGCGGCCATCTGCTGAGGCCCACTGGGGTTCAAGGAGACAGAAGCAGACATAGAAAAAGAAGCATAGATACAAAAGGCAGCTGTCAACCAGCTCCACAGGCGGCCCCGTCCAGGAAACACACAGCCAGGCAGACGAGCTCCGAGCCAGCTCCCATGTCAGAGGATGAAGAGAGCACATCCAGTTAGTCCTCACAAAGGGGGTAAAATCCACACAGCGCTCAGCCTTGGAGTCTCTGTTCCTCACCCAGTTCAGAAGGGGGCGCTATGCACGATAAATACTCTGCGGTCTGTGACTTTAGACGCAGGAAAACCAAAGCTATTTACAGATAGCTTTCTTTGGTATTCCACATGAAATGTTCCTCTCCTAACAGGCGGTTAAGCCCAGTGAAAAACAGGCAGATCAGTGTTTGGATTTAAACCCTGAATGACGTAGAAGTATTTCCTGCTGCGATTCCAGGGGTTGATGTGGTTCATCAAACTGATTTGGCTCCATTGTGGCAATATTTCTCAACATTTCTATTCTAATCTAATCTATTCCGTTCTCTTCTATTCTGCTCTGTTTTATTCTATTCTCCTTCATGTATTTTAGTTTTGACAAAGTATTTTTTTTTTAATATAACTTTCTTTTTGATCACAGTGAAATACTAATTATTTAAACTAACCAGTAACACTAACTGATGCACTGACGGTTCATTAAAGGCCCATTTCACCACATTTTAAGGATTGTTCTGTTTGTGTGACTTTCTCAGCCATTAACGCCATCGTCTGTTTCAGGGTTTGGGGACCATCTTCTTCCTGTTAGCCGGCGTCCTCTACAAGCCCCCCCCTGAGTCGCCTCACAGCAGCTGTGAGAGCACAGAGCAGGGGGCCGAACACATGAGCAGCCTGCCCATCAAAGAGCTGCCAGAAGATGGCGTCATCGTCAACCTGCACACCAGGTTGTGACATCACAGAGCCGCCAAACCTAGAATGCCTTCAGGCACAAAAGCAAGAACACACAGAGAGGAGTGTGTGACGCTTCCAATCTGCTGCTCCCCTGGAGGGAAATCCTGCTTCATGCACATTTTCTGATCTGTTTGAGTGAATCAGCAAAGTTCTCCTACGAACGTCTCTAATGGGAACTCACATCCAATCAGTTCAGTAAGTCTGCGTCTGGATGCTAGGATTAGATTTATTTTTTAAACCTGGTTTTAAAAGCCAATCAGACTTTACAAAAATAAATAAAAGTACGGTTGTTTTATGACGTCCTTAATGTAACCGGATGCGTTGTTCTGTGGGAACCCATGAAGCCATGTTTTAAGATGCTGAAGCACAGCCAGTGAAAATGTAGCCAAATGTTCATCATATCAGCAGAAAAGCAGGCGTTCAAACAGCCTGATGCCAAATTCATAATGTTGCTGTTATTCCAGTTAGCTCACGGCTTTTTAAAGGCTGCTGGACTGTTTTTTCCAACAGTGTCTGATCCAGAAACGGTTCTAATACTTTACAGAACTAGGTCCAGTCTTCCTGGCAGGTTCTGTCTCACTGGGTGAACTGGTCTGCGGTTTGGCTTCTTCTGGCCTTTAATGACATTGTGAATGTGGAACAGATGCTTCCTTCTCAGGGTGTTCCTGGACCTGCCTTAGCTCCAGCTTCATCTTGAGTTTAGGCTTCAATCTGGACTAGTTTCTACCCCCCCCCCCCCCTTTGCTTCATCAGTAAAACTGCCATTTTAGGCTCAAATTCAGGCTCCATCCCAGCGCTATAAACACAATCTGATGATTATGTTAACATCATCATCACTTTGCCTTGATCGGCCATATTGGGTCTCAAAAAGTGTGAAAAAAAGCGTCCAAAATGAAGCGCGTCTTCAGACGGGCGGCCATGTGCCTTTCTAGTCAGAGTGGCTTCAGTCCATCATTTCCACCAATTATCAGTCATTTCATTTGTTCAGCTGATTTGGTACAGTAGTAGCAATTCAAAATTTCCCAACTTTCCTTAATGGGCCCTTGGCTGGCCCTTGGCTGGTCCCCTACTGCAGTGGTCTCCAACCACCGGGCCGCGGACCGGTGGTTGGAGACCACTGCCCTACAGTACATTTTCTAACATAAAATATTCTTTTTATCATGATTTGTGGACATTAAGATCTAAAGAGAAGCGCCATCTCCTGGTCAGACCCTGTAATTCAGTGAAAGGGTGGAGTCAGAGGAAATAACTATGCACGCCAAGGAGAAGGCTGGTGGCTGGAATTTGGAGGGGATTTTGCTGAGAGTTGCAGGGAAGTGGGCTGCCATTTGGCCCATTTTGAATGGCTGCTACTGTAGTTTGGACCTTTTGTCCTGTTGGGCTGCAGAGGTTGTGGAAATTCTGCTCAAGAACTCTGAGCAAGTGCAGCACAGCAGCATCTGAGAAGCACAAGTATCCTGGGCGTCGGCTCCCAGGGAGCCTGGATGCAAAGGTTCAGGTCAGTGGCGGATCTAGGGGGCGGCTACTTGGGCTGCAGCCCCGGATGTTTCCCCAAGAGCCCCGGATCTCGCTTCTGAGCTGATCTTAGTAAAATGTGCAGTACTGGAATTCACCAGATGGTGGCAGCATGCACAGCAAAGCAGCCTGTAGCATTCCCGTGCAGAGGAAGAAGTTCTCACCAATGGCTGTTGCTAAACAGACTGATGTTCCAGGGATGTGAAGCTCTTGTCCCGGTGTTCTATGGAATTCTGTTCCCCTTGTGTCGGGAAGCGCATTGAAGCCAGAGAGGCGGACATGGCGGATGGGACCATTTTCACGACGCGTCTGATCGATTTCTCGCTAAAATCAGCTATAATCATGTCACGGTTGTAACATCCAGTTTAATCAGCAGGTTAATTTACAAAATTGTAAAAATAAATAAATAGACGAGGTGCTTTAAAGCTATTTTGGGTTATTTTAAACGCCAAGAAAATCGTCTTTTTCCAACTTCTGTCACTTAAACCTGACAGAAATAAAAGTCAGTCACCAAACAGTTTTCCAACAAGTAGTGAGTATTTATCATTTTTCATTGCTGATATCAGAGGATGGAAACCGGCTGATAGCAGGACACAAATATTCCTGAAAAGATGAGAGTGTAGACTTTCTGATTTATCCCGTTCTAATGTAAAATATGACAGATTACTGGATTAAGGACATTCCCAGTTTACTACATGATATCACACAAACGATTTTTGAGAATCTGGAAACAGATGCTTTTTACTTCCCAAAGATATGGGAGGAGGAGAGACCTGATGTTTCAGCTGCCTGAAATAATCCGTTCCTCCTCCATAACATGGAAGAAATTAATTTACCTGCAGGACTTTAACTGTGTTTATTCATTTATTCATATTCCTCTGGATTTGGTGACATTTGATAATTATTTGCCAAAGTTATGAGAGGGAAATCGTATATTTTAGCCCCCTGATAGAATCCGTTCCCCCTTTGATGATCTTTATGAAATATATTTTCTGTTTAAATGTTTATCTAACAATTCACATATATTCCAAAAAAAAGTTCAAACCAAAACCACTGGACATTGTTTTCCAAGTTTGAAGATGTTTCTCAATTCAAAATGTCTGGAGCAATGCTACTGCAGACATTTTGAATTAAGAATTAAAATACATTAAATAAAGATAATCAAACCAACACTATTTTGGATTTTAAAATATAAAATAATAAATGTTAATAAAAAAATAATGACAGTTTCAAAGGATTTGTTTATTTTTTTCCCATGTTATGGGGAAACAGATTATATCAGGCGGCTAAAATATATGATTTCCCTCTGATAACTTTGGCAAATAATGATCAAATGTGTCCAAATCCACAGAGTTAGTTGTTGATGAAGAGAGGGATAAACACAGTTAAAGACTTGCAGGTGAATTCATTTCTTCCCATGTAATGGAGGGGGGATTGTTATGTGTGATAGCATGTAGTATAGTAGAAATTACTTTAATCCAGTAATCTGTCATATTTTACATTAGAACGGGATTTAGAAGAAAGTCTACTCTCTCATCTTCACCCTCGGGGCTAAGCCCCTGATCTCCTAGGATCCTAGATCCTCCCCTGGTTCAGGTGTTTGGATGATGAATAAGAAGGACTGAAGCTCATGGTTCTCTTTGGTGTAAAAAGAATAACAACAAAAGCAGATGGAGCAAAAAACTGTTTTTAAACAGTGAAGAAAATGAAGAGCTCATCCAAAATGTAGGAATAAATCTGTGATGTCACCCTCTTCTTTTTTACTGCTGTTTAGGGGAAAGGTGTAAAGCTTTTATCAACCACAGTGACATCACGGGTGACGAGAACCTAGATGCTTCCAGATACGCTTCAAAGTCTCTGATAGATGAAAATCTGGACCTGAAACCTGATAAAAATATAATAGATCTGCTGATTATCTTCAGCTTGAACCAAATCAATGCCTGCATGAATATGAGCCTTTTCCCGGTCGCCATGTCTGAGAGTTAAGTTTGACTGACTTTAGACATGCTTGTTTAAAAAGGATTGTTTTGTTTTAACTGGCCTGAATCCTTATGTACTTTTGAAGAAATGGCTTTAAAGGAAAAGTCAGCGAGGAATAATCAGTGGATCATTATTTATACCTAAAAATAATATGTTTGCAGTGATTTAATGTATTTAGCTTTAATCAGTAAAAAAATTTTCATGGCGATCACTGAGTCTGGGAGCGGCCATTTTTGCCCAAATATAGTAGCCCCTCCCTCCTGCCATCTTCCAGCAGTGACGTCACGGTGCGGTAAGCCTAGCGCCATTCTCCCCGCTTTACAAGCTAAATCAATGGGAACTATATAGACTTTATAGTGAACTTTATAGTGAAGTCAGTTAACTGACCGTTCGGACAGATGATCAATGCTTTTTGCTCCATCGGTCGTGTAACTTCTGAGAGTTTGACGGATTTCTTTGGTTGATGTTAAACTCAAATGGATCATTGCTGCATCTTTAATCAATAAAACATTAAACCTAAAAAAGTGAAGGAAATCAATGAGAAATATTTCCTACACTCTAATCTCCATGTGGGCCCATTATTTCCCTGCAGTTAGCTCTCCAAATGTGCCAAAGCAGCTTTATTCGTTCATGCAAATCATTTATTTATGATGTTTTGCACTTAAAGTTTGAATTAGAATTGTAATTTTTAAAGCATTGATGCTCTTTGCTTGTTTGTCCGTTAGGCCCACCAGAGTTTTTATTCTCCCGTATGTGATGTATGTGACTGTATTTTCCTGTGATGTTATGGGTGTTGTTTGATTTTCCGTTAAGTGATGGAGAAAATCTTTTCCGTCTGTCAAACATTCGGTAAAACCTTCTGAATGTTCTTCTCTTTGTCTCCTGGTTCATAATATCAAGTGTTTAAAACATTTTTTAATATGTTGTTTTTTGTTTGTTTTTTTATGGAAGCTGCAAATTTCAAATCTGTGACTTTTTTATTGAATGACAAAAAATGTGAATGATTTTATAATAAATAAAAGAAGGGAAACATCTTAAAGTTGCAGCTGAAGTGTTTTTGTCTTTGTTCAGTCAATTTATAGAAATGTAAAAATATTAGAGCATCTTTTTCATTTGATTGTTCTAAAACATCACCTTGACACAAAGCAACATTTTCAGGACTGAATTTAGGGCTTTTCCTGTTATGACCTTACATTTTGGATCTTTTATATCAGTTTAACTTATTTTTTGGGTTCTATAGTTAGCTTTGTTTTGTTCTATGCTCTCTAGATTTCGATCATTTTTATATTCTTAGTTTTGCTCTTCCTGGTTTTTATCATGATTTGGCTATGGTTAGTTGACCCAAAAGCAGAGGCAGGGGTGAATCTCTTGTGGATTTAATAATGACTTAACAGAAAACAGAGGCAGGTTATCCAAAAATCCAAAATGAAAACAAAGTCCAAACAAACATGAAACCAGGAGTCCAAAAACATGAAAACTAGTCTAAACGTACCAGAAACCATGGAGACATCAGAGGAATCACAATCATAAGGAGGAAGGCACAGAGAGAAGGAGTTGGAGCAAGTTTGACGAGGACCCAGCAAAGGGGAACTGAAGAGAGAGGGCTTTTAAAGGAGACTGAGACAAAGAGGAGACTAATGAGGAAACTAGAAGCAGGTGTGCACAGAACAAGAGAGGGAAAGAGCTAGGGAAGAAGGAGAACACAAGAGGGCAGCAGAGAGCAACAAATAGAAACCTGGAAGACTGGAAATAACAACAAAATGATAATTAAATTACTAGGACTATAAAACATGGAAAAAAGAAAACTAAACACTAGAAAACAAGGAGTAAAACATAACAGAAACAGAAACCTGACAGTTTTCTCTTTTTCTTCGTATTATTTGTTCCTTAGTCTAGTTTTAGTTATTCTTTCTCTCATTTTTAGGTCAGGTTTTCCATGGCTTCAGTTATCTTCAGTTCCTTCTCTTATCCTCTAATTTCCCCCTTGGCCATTCCTTATTTTGTAGTCATTAACTTTATTCCACTTTAGCCTCATTTAAGTTATTTTTTAGATCCTGTTGTTTCTCCTTGGTTATTCTCTGCTGCCCCCTAGTGTCCTTTTCTTTCCTTAGCTCCTTTTAGTTACTTCTGTCCACACCTGCTGCCTATTAGCCAATTATTCCTCCCATTGTTTCACCTCCGGTTCAGTCTCTCATTGCTGGATCATCGTCTTTCTTTAGGTTTATTCCTTTCTAGTTTCTCCTAGTTTTTTTTTTTTTTTGGTTCTTGAGTTTGTCGATGGATTCTGATCTACCGATTCTTTATTTTACATATTTTACACGTAATCATCTCTAGTTGCTGTTGGGAAGTCCTATTGCTGGGGCCGTGGTTAGGAATGTCCTGGTAGCAGTCACGTTGTTCAGTAACATTTACACACAAATGGTGTTTTTAAAATAAAAAGCCACGTTTTGTTTTTCACCAAACTGACATCAATTGTGCGATTGGAAGAGCAAAGGCTGCATTCTGGAGTACAAAGAACTCCAACCGTTCCCTGAAACTCAAAAAGAAAATGCTCGACAGCCTAGTGTTCTCACTAGTCTGCTACGGCTCCG